AGGGTCAATACGGAGAAGACTTGAAGCCCCGATGGCTGTAGGAAGTTCCAGAATAAAATAAAGATGCTCAAATTAAAACTATTTAAACAAAAAATGTTTTACCAGGTAAGGCCCACTGAGATATATAGCTCTTTGTCAGAAGCAACCTGGCCACAAATGATAGCTCAATGAAGCAATGGCAGAGCCAGGATTTTCAGGTAGGGGGGGGCAACCCTTCCAGCAATGAAAAATGATAGGAGTTGTTAGTAAGGACTTGTCCCTTGCTTTTTATTCGACGCGTGTTCGGCGATGGCGCAGCCATTGATCGAGGGTCGAATTCGAACCGTGTGTGATCGGCATCGCGCTCGCTGAAGGTATGCCTTCAGGGAAGTCGTGTATTGTATACGCAACTGCGCACAATTCTGAGTCACGTATAACTGCTTTGCCGTTACTTATTGCCAATTATGGACTCAGTCTATTGTCCTATCATCTCATAGAGTCCCTGGCACATAATAATACAGGGTGTTTAAAAAAGATGGACCCGATTTGAAATCGCTATATCTCTGCAACCACGAACCACCCATGAATGAAACTCTTACCACTTGAAAGGGCGGGGCATAGAGTTTCAAATGATTGCCGCGAGATGCCTCTCCCAGCGCACAAACAGCCCCTAGCCTCAGTCATTCGCAAGACAACACTGCCTCAACGTTGGATATGTCGCACAGGACCCCAAGACTTGGCACGACACTCTTGGCCCCCAAGATCCCCAGACATCATCACACCCTGCGACTTTTTCTTGTGGGGATACGTCAAAGACCGTGTTTTTGTGCCACCATTCGTGACTAATCTGGATGACCTCAAAAACAGAATCACGGCAGCGGTGACTTCAGTGGAAGAAACTTTGAGAGGCGTTTGGGACGAATTCAACTATCGTCTCGATGTTGTCCATACAGTAGGTGGAGGGCACATAGAGCATTTATAAAATGGTTAGTAAAACTTGATAACTCATTAAACCGTTTGTAACTTTTTGTGTAATTGTAACATGTTGGCATCGTGAAATATACTGCTTTGAAATTGGGTTAATCTTTTTGAAACATCCTGTATGCTACAAAGTGGCAGTGGGGGTCGCAAAATGCCGATTTATTATTAATAAACCCCAATGATCCGATCGAAATTAGGGATTTCGATCGGGGGCACGTGTCACCCCACTTCCCCCCACTGGCTCCGCCAGTGCAACGAAGTGGCTTATCATGTGAAAATATATAGCAGCCAAATACTTTAAGAGCACTTTTCTAAATGTGGAGAGGAAAACGGGAGGACCCGACGAAAAATCCACGCCACCATGGGGAGCACATGCCAACTCCAAATATACAGGTGTCAGGATCATGATTGAACCCACGACCTCCTGTATACCAGGAAAGGTAGTTAACATTTTGCCACCGTGGCGCTAACATGAGGATGCTTATGGTGGGAAAAAAATGTAATGAACTAAATAAAAATGCTTTTTTATAACAGGAGTAATAGTGCACTGTGAAAAGCACCTATCAAAATTACTACCTACCAGAACCTACCGATGACAACAAACAAATAGACAGTTAAACATTTACGAACATGTCTGCTCATCAAACGTATTCCAATAACATGCTTGACACCTAACACAAGGCCGAATGTGAAAAAAGTCACGAAACATATTTCCTTTGCCAGTGCCTCAGCAAGTATTTAACACGACAACAAGCGGTGTTTGTGTTTTTGTGTAAATACTTTTTTTTCTCCATTGTTTTGCCGACAAAGGCAAACGCGCACATATGGACAATGGAAATGTTCTCAGTCTTACTCTGGCCAGTGGAAGCACATAACAACGCCACTTGGGAGTTCTTAATCTTTACATGAAGCAAATCGATCATGCTGCCCACAATCTGTGCACTGAACCTTGCTCACAATGACATTAATGGAATAATCAACCATCACGAGTCACCACTGGGAAATGGTGCAGGTCCAATGCTGAACAAGGAGTTAAGTTGTGCGTGTAGTCAATAAAACATTGCATTTTAATGCATGCATACATGCACTGCAGTGTACAAATGTGACCAACTAAACTGAAAATTCAAATGGAAGGTGTATTAAGCATGCCATGTTTTATTTCGCAAGTATTTTCAACACGCTACGTATGCTGTAGCCGGGTGACATTAAAATATACGTATAATGCTTACAGTCAAACCAGAAAGGTGACATTGTAAAGATAAGAAATACAACATTCTTTGGGCTAGAATGTAAGCACCTTGACCTCATTGAGCACTATTGAGATAGTCACTACTTTAAGTTCTCTAATTGAAATGTTGTACAGCCACTATGCTTTGGACTACCAAAACATTGCCATTCCCTACCGAGTACAGTGCCTTTGTTTGCACACCTGAACTGTAAATATTTGTGAATGTAATACTGACCATACCCTAGTTTATTTCATACTGTTGTTAAATAGTGAGTAGAACATCCGAGTGCTTCCTCATTGTACACGTGCATTTGCCGCAGAAACTCCGGTTTCCTTCAAAATATCAATTGTAAGTGGAATCGGACAGACATCCCAATGCATAAAAAGTCTTGAGAATAATTTAGTCATGACACTATTATCATAAATTCTAGCTACGACTTTCCTTCTCATGAGTCCCAAATTTCCTTAACATCTAGATCATGGCTACGTACGATGCGAAAGACGTTCAGCATACATACATCCTCTAAATAGGAGTTCAGTGTCATTCATGCTGTACAAAATTTGCCCCCAATGGAAGTGGTAAATGTCGAATGCCAGAGAGGGCACTGGGACTACACGTTCAGTGGCGGCTACTAAACTTTTTTTTTTATTCATGACCAATTTTGTTGTTTTAAGAACCGTACCGACGGATGCAACAATAAAATATTTGACATGAATAAGTGTCATCAGTGTACCGTGTATTGCCCTGACCAAAGAGGCACCCTTGCTGGCTCAGCATAGCCACTGTCATAACACGAATATTAATACTGCAGGAATAATAGCACTATAAAGTTATGGTCTTTCCGAGAGCGACCACCATACATGCTGTAAAGTTGGAGCAGAGTGCAATGGCATGGGGCCCATCCTTCGCTAGCATTCTTCAAACGTTACCACTTACTCGTAAAAAAAAAAAATAGTCCGTTATATATTAAACTAACTTTGAAGTTTTAGCATTTGTGTCGGCATCCTCGTGTGAATGCTCAGAGCCGTTTTATACACCGGTGGATGGGGTTTGTTTGACCATATTTCCCAGTGCTGGTCAGAGTGGGTTGGTGAAGGCAATGAGGTGGTGGTTGGTGGTGCCATGCTGGGTGCGCTCAGGACCATTTTCAGAAGATACAATGTCACCGATGCCTTACAGCTTTCGTGACTGCAGGAATCCATATTCTTAGATCTTTCGGTAAAGCCACGTAGATAGGTTCAAATAAAATAACAAAAAACTACGACGTTTCGATCGCAACGTGACTTTACCGAAAGACTCGAGAATATAAAAATGTCACCGACGTTAACTGTGGCCGAGGAATTGAACTTAGGCCGCTCGGCTCGTAAGCACAGCGCGTTGACCACCGTGCCACCACCGTGCCACCACCGCTCAACGCCCCTTGTAGTACTGTCACTACAATATCAGGGATACTACCAATCCCCCTAAACCGTGTTTTAAAAAGCTTTGCATCTTACATTATGAACGACAAAATCACTTTATAATCAAGTGCCATATTAATACTACGTGCTTGAGCGCAGCATTGGGCCATTAGATGTTGGTTGGCTTCCTATCATAACAGGAACGACAATTTCACCATCGGCGCTGAACGCTAGACAGTATAGACTTTACAATAGCAAAGTGGAATTCACAACGTCATTGTCGGTCAACGCCATTCACATTAACAACCGCAATAGCATTGACAACACCGAGTGTTTAGCAATGCAGCGGACATCACGTTGGGTAAGTCAAGTCACACCGCAGTTGCATCTACTGCTGGATGAAGGGCCTTCCCACGCCAAATTGTGGATCGTGGGAGCTACTTGACCATTCAACCATCGGCATCTGAACCCGTGCCGGTTGGTGAATGCGGGGAAGCCGAGAGGATACCGGTTAACAAAGGAGTTTTGCTCCACTGCCCTCTGCTGCCCAACACTGAGCCACCTCCCCCCCACTAGTAGCCTGCCTATAGCAACCCTGGTGCTGTGTGCATGGTGGCCCTCCATACAAACACTTACCCGATCTCAAACCTGCTTAGCTTCCCACGCCTAAAGTTCTACGCGGATACCGAAATGCTTGAATTACGGGAGAGGCCGTCACAAACGGAATGCCAAAACACGTTCATTATCAGAACTGTCATCATTACCACCACCACCCACCCACCGTTACCACCAGCCACGATCAATCCACTGCTGCATGGAAACCTCCCTCTGCGAAGAAATAATCCACCTTAGCACATGGACACGAGCTGATGTCGTCGCTTCAAGCGCCTAGGTATGCGTCAACCCCAGGGAACTGCACTATTTTATTAATTTGTCTTAACATTGTTGCGGCGAACGGATACCTCTCGCTCTCTCCGTCAGCACGGCGGGAATGCCAACATCCACACACTTTAAACGAACGCGCACTGTTGGTTCTAAGCTTGTGACAAGGGCACGCTTGGGATCTCTTTATAGATAAAAATAACAATAAATACTGCATCGACACCGATGCTGTTTTAATACGGTGGACATGGCACGTAGATTACTACAAGTCGTTAGTGAAATATCTAAGAGCGTTCTTATGCAGACGCGTTACATTGTTAGTGACAAATCCATATTTTGACTATTACTGCTATACCACTGAGAACGAACGAGTGCGGAGCTTATATTAAATCGCTAACGTAATTCGTGACTTTATAACATTACTATTGTCGTCTTCGCCGTTACCAGCCACGCTCAATCCACTGCTGGACATGATTACGCATTAGCAGTGCGCTGCTGCTGTGGTCGAAGTCCCGCGTGTGAGTCTCACCTCCTCGTCCTCCTCCTGTGCCCCGCTCTCTCTAAGCGGCTCTTCTCCCCTTCACCTTCGTCACCACGAACACAAACTCCACAGCGGCGCGGGTGAGCGAGGCCTTGGTGAACTCACGAGAGAGAGAGACGCCGCCGTCGACAACGACGACGAGGAGGAGGATGAGGAGGAGACGACGCAGTGGCGGTTTCACGCGAGGCGCCGAGGCTAACAAAGGGGAGGGGGGGGGAGTCGGGCCACTCGCCGCGATGCGGCAGCTGCCGCTTGCTTGCTGGCTGGCTGCTGCTGCTCTTGCTGCTGCCGCCGTCGCTGCCCACAGCGACTCGACGCCGGCAACCTCCTCCCCCCCCCCTTTGCTCAAGAGCTTAACAGAGAACGCGTGACGTCATCGCGCAGGGGCCCATCGCGCGTCATCACGCACGCCGCCTTACCGCGGCACTCACAAATGGACCGTTAGCGACGTCATCGCGCCCGCACGCTGGGACGGCGCCGTGCGCGCGATGACGACACGCCCCGCCCCCCCGCCGCCGGGCGCCCGCCCCGCCCCCCGCCGGGCGTCCGCCCCGTCCCCCACCGGGCGCCCGCCCCGCCCCCCGCCGGGCGCCTGATCCGCCGGGCGCCCGCCCCGCCCCCCACCGGGCGCCCGTCCCGCCCCCCGCCGGGCACCTGCCCCGCCCCCCGCCAGGCGCGCGCCCCGCACGCCCCGCCCCCCGCCCCGCCCCCCCCGCCCCGCCCCCTCCACCCGGCGCTCGCCCCCCCGCCCGACGCCCACCCCGCCCGCCGGGCGCAGTCTGAAGTGCTTTCGAGCGAGTTGACGTCATCAGGGAAAACGCCGACAGTGTTCTTGCGCATGGCGCGTGACGTCATCGCGTTAAGATCCGATGTTGCCAAACGTCGGGTCGCGTGCCGGCTAACGTCAGCGCGTACGAGAACGCAATCTCGTAAAGCCACGTTCACGATGGAGACTATGCGGTGATATCATCACGTAAGTCCTGACGTCACCGCGTTAGTTGTCGCTGAGCGTATGCCACGTACAGTACAGTGGAGGCGTGAGGGTAAGTCCGCTGCATTTTATCGCCCCGGTGTTGTTAGTGTTTCCTGTCGCGTTCATGTATCTTACATTTCTGCGTTTCTGCGTCGTGTCTCGTTAAATAAACGCAGCATTCGTGGCCAGGGCGTTGTTTTGTCGGCCTGCCGGGTGACTGTGCCGAGGCTGCACTGTTAATGACGGGTGCTCGCTGTCACGCAGGTGATGGTGAAGACGTTAATTGTCGCGCGGAGCGAAACCGCGGAAGACGAGAAGCTGCTATAAATAACACCTTGCGATGTGGCTGTGTGTGGTGTGTTCCGGGCTGCGCGACAGCTTCGTTGCTGTGGAAAAAAATAATTTAAAAGTCCCGGTTCAGGCGCGCCGCCGTCACAACACCGCGTACACGGCACCTTGTTCGATCTACGCCGTGCGGGGTCGAGGGGGGGGGGAGCCCTGAACATAATTAAAATTAAACTTAACACATTTTTACCACGTAAGGCCCACCGAGCTATTTACTGTAGCTCTTTTTCAGCAGCGACCTGGGCCACAAATGATATCTCGACGAAAGTGGCGTATCGTAATGTGGAACATTTCTCGCAGTCGAATGACTCGAAACGCATGCTTTTTGTTTTAATGTGGAGGGAAATAACCCGGACGACCCAGAGAATAATCCACGCGACCAAACTCTTAATATAAAGCAGGTGTCGGAGAGTCGGGATCGAAACGACGACCTCCTGTATACAAGGCGAGGTCGTTAACATCTCGCCACCGTGGTGCCCACCATGCCGATTGGTGCGGTGTCGGGGAGCTAAAGTCAGTTATTTAAAGAACGCGCCGTCTAGCCGTGAGGTAATAGCAGGTGAGCTTTAAAGTAACGTTTGGATTTTGGCAGAGAGTTCCAGGTGATGGGCCCAATGACGTTTGGTCATAGAAGTACAATAATATATTTTACTGCACTGCCATATACTCGCAACGTAGCCCCGCAGCCCATGACAACCTGTTTGTGCTATGAGGAAGGTTAATTTCCCGAAACGTCGCCCTATATGGTTCCCTTTACCTCGCCTGGTATGGAGGTCGTGGGTTCGATCCCAACCCTGATGCCTGCTGTATATTTGGAATGTGCGTGTTTCCCCGTGGTTGCATGGATTTTTCCCCTTGCCCTCCGGTTTTCCCCTCCACATTTAGAAGCATGCGTTTAGAGTATTTGTTTTATCTATACTTTTACACATGATAAACCACTTAGTTGAGCCACCACTTGTGACCATGTCGCTCCTGAAAAAAGAGCTATATAACCCAGTGGGTCTTACCTGGTAAAATTATCATAGTTTAGTGTAATTGCCGAATTAGTTTTTTGGGCCTGTAGCAGCACCACTGCAAATGCATCACCAATTAACGTGTGTAAGGTGGCCACCCAAATTTCCACTAACCCTGATTTTTCTGTATTCCGACTACATTGACGTTAACATTAATGTCGTGGCATTAGTGTTATATTAAGCAAGGTTTAAGTATAATTATTTGATCAAATAAGCTTCAGGCCTGTGCTATTTGTTTCTAACCTAATCAATATGCACTCTATGCACACGTAGCAGTCTGACATTTGGAGTAAGCAGACATATACAGTGCCAGGTGTACACATTTTGGTAACATTGTTTTTGTCCTTTGGATATATTGGCCTCTGTTATGGGAATGTGTAACTTGCACAAATGGAAATGAGCACCATCCTATGCCCCCTTGAGCATAAATACACTTTGACTACAGTATTTACATGTTTATTATATGACATGGTACTGTATATTAAAACGGGATTACATTAGTTTGACACGTGGGCTTATTTACATTAATTAGCTAATGGAAATGTAATACAATGAAATTAATGTACTGTTTCTAAGAAGGCTGACACCATCTTACAGCATTGAATTGATACCGCTGGGATCCTTTGTTCTAATTCAGGCAGCAGTCGGAAATTAAACCAGGTGCTGAAGTGTCGTGAGTTGATAGTCTCAAAATACACAAACAACATAATTCTATGTGATGTAGTTTTTCACGTAGCATATTGCAGCTGTGAGAATGGCACATTTCTGGTGTGTTTCCATTGTAATAATACTACGTTGAAGGCCATATAAAGGTGTTCGTCCTACTGTTGGATAGATAGAGGCTATTGATTACGGTAGTTTTGTAACTTCACATTGCAGAGCTATTCTCTGACACAACGAGCTACGTATTGAGTTACAGGTGCCTATTTGATCACATGACACTAACAGTGCACATTGAATATAATTGGGAACAAAAGGAAATAACATTTACAATAATGTGCAACAGGAATTAAATCATGTATTTGTGCTCGGCCCTTTTTCATCGTGTGTTCCCTTGCAATTGAAAGATATGTGTGGTCTCAGTGTACGGTAAATTAAGTGGATATTTGATATTTAATCAGGAGAAAGACATCCTCTTGTACGGCCAGAATGCATTTCCAATCATCAGTGTCAACAGATGCGATAGTGACCAAAGAACATGCATTGAATATGAACTCTTTTTAGAATGGCATGTGAACGATGTGTTATGACCATATTGTAGTAGCAAATATATTGTTAATATTTTACTCTATATTTAAAATGGCGTGTATTTTGGACATTCATACAATTCATACAATAAAGCTGAAGACATTTTAAGCTTCACTAAGCAGCATATATACTGCTGCAGCAGGCTGTGACCTTAAAAATGAAATGTCTCTTGCAGATGAGAATGGCACTTGAATCAAGGGCTCTGGCCCTTACCCTCCTGCTTGCATTGCTGAGTTTTGTGAGCGCTATTCCTATCGACAAATCAAAACTAAAGGAGCATAATGAGGTTAAGGATACAAAAGATGAAAAGCAGATAGAGGTGAGTTCTACCTAACCTTTGATCATTTGTCATTTAAGCAAGTCATTATTTAAGAAAATATCGTGGAGAAAATCATGTTGATGTGTTTTTTTTATACAACCATTTAAGAGTTTAGCTCACTAGCTCTCGTGGTCCACGAAAATATTGCCAACATAGTTGTTTTGTACCTTGGGCGTATTTATAAGTAATTATCTATAGTGTACAATAAAATAAGATGAAGAATTAATAGAAAAAATGCATTTCATTTAAAAGCCTCGACCTGTCGGCCACCAATGTAAATGCACTCATTTGTAAGATGGAGCCGTCACCTTAACGATGATCAGTCACCAGTGGAGACAAAACGTAAGAGAACCGTTAGAAATCAGTGGGTAAAGGATATTCGAGTATAATATAGTACTTACCGCTCTCAAATTGCACCACTACCACGTTGTCCTCGTATTGCACATTTGTTTGTGTAGAAAGCATCTTTACAATAAGTTCCAGTGGCAGACCTAGCAATTGAATGGCTGCCACAACAAAGAACTTGTACGAGAGGGTGACCTAGATAATAATAAATATTACTTACATTTTATATTGCATCATTCATGCTGATATCATCCCCATAACCCTGTATATTTCTTATTCACGAGGACCAAATCCCATATACAGCCACTACGAAGTAAATGAAAACCCTACTACTAAGCAAAATCAAAAGTTAATTAAACTAATTAAGAAATGGCATCAAAACAAAAGCGATTTTGATGCATATATTTTATTATTTTATTGTTTCCCTTCAACGTGACTTTACCGAAAGAACCAATAATATGAATCGCTGCAGTCACGAAAGCTTTAAATCAAGATTTTGATGCACTTGAGCAATGGGGCATCGCACAGAACTGCCGGTCTTTTTAGAAACATAGTGTACATCATGAGGTAGACCGCAGTTGATGTACACTGGAAAATGAACACGAAAAATTGTGATGCCGCTCAGGGAAAATCTGACACGCGTCTCTCTCAGGACACGGGGCTCTACTATGACCGCTACCTACGAGAGGTGATCGATGTGCTGGAGAAGGACACCCATTTCAAGCAGAAACTGGAAACAGCTGACATTGAGGACATTAAGGTAACCGGTTTCATATCACCTGCATCTCTATTCAACCAAGTCTTAGTATCAGGACAGTGCATCGTTTTATTACCTTGTAATTACTTTGTGCCTATCACTGGTCACCCTGGAATGATCATGATCTCGTCATATCTTGGAAGCTAAGCAGGTTTGAACCTGGATAGATATTGCACGGGCAACAACCACGCATAACAGATGTCGTGGACATGGTGGACATCTGTTATGCAGAGTGCAGTGTAGCAAATTCCACCCTTGCACTGTACTTCTTTGCAGTGTTTTATATCCTCTAACCTTTACTAACCTGCATTGAGCAGGATGGTGAATATGGTAAAATAACCCCCTCGACTCGGACGGCATAATCCAGCAGTTGGTTGACAAAGAGTTCTACAGCTACAAATATTCCACAGGTTTTGACAATAGATTTATCATAAATACATTTTATTGAAAGGTTTTTTGTGCAATTGGAAATTGAAATGTGTTCTGAAATGTTCAGCTTTCCCTTGGCTTTGCAAAGCCTCAAGTTATTTATTTAAAATAAGTTAAGTGTGGCATATAGTTGCCAGAAATATACAAGCATTAAGACATTGTAGCCTTTGTGATAATATAGGAATTATCTTGGTTTGTAGAGGGTGGGAAAAGATGGTCAACAATGACTTGACAATAAGAATTTAGAAGAGGGGGCTAAGCTTTTAATAGGGGCTTACCCTCCCCTCCCAATAATACAGAGTTTATGAGAGGGGACCGAAAATACTTTAAATTTGGTTCCCAAAGAATATCTTAAGGGCTGGCTCACTGCTTTGACGTGTTATTAAACTATTAATACAACTTTCCACATTTTTTAATGTATTTTTTAAAGGAACGTTCTATTTGAACATTTTCCCAAGAGTTTTAGAAAGTATGCATGTTGAAAATGGAGATATCAACAAACACAGGATGAAAATAATTTGATTTAGCAAGACCTGTTTTGACAGGTCACAATTTATTGCAAAAGTTTAGTAGAAAGTTAAAAAAGTTATTTAGATCTTTTGACAATTGCTCTAAAAGTGATGTCAATGGAAATTTACTTTTGCATTGATTTTGTGAAAACAGCTCTGTCCTGGCATACAGTACAGTGTAGGTGTAAGAGGTGAATGCTCTGCAGAAGGAAAGCATTTAGTCTTAAATCATATTGAGCTTTGCCAGATATGTTGTTCCTGAAAGAGAATGATTATTATTTTTATAAAACACATTGACATAGTGAGTTCCATAGCAATTATTAAAACTAACATCGCTCTTAGCTTAAATAATTGTGAAAAAAATTGTATTCTTACAATTAAAATGTTTGAGTGTTTATGTGGGTTATTGGAAATGTTTTCAAGTTTGCTGCTTGGAGAGCGTTACTGCTTTTTCAAATTTCTTTCATTCGCCATTTTGAATGTTTACCAGGTTCTGTTTATATAGGAGAAAGGACATGTGTGCTGTTCTTTATTGCAGTTAGTCATTGCTTAAAAACGAATATGGCATGAATCATCCTCCTTTTAAGATGCAAAAAAGAAAGACAAATTGCATCACATCCATTTGTATGGAATGGATTGTAAAACATGAATGTGCTTGCTCCGTACAAACCCAATCAGAAGCACTTAAAGAAAAACAATCAAGGCTGTTTAATCTTTTGGCTGTCTTTGAATGTAGTCAGGCTTCCTACAGCTGGTAAGACTGCAGGTGGCTGCAGATTAATGTAGAAAGCTACGCGGCGTAATCCCTACACGTTTCCGTCAACTAGTAAGCTTCCAATGCCATGCCTTGTAGACAGATTTACAGTGAGGGGAAAAGTATTTGACCCCTCTGCAAAACATGACTTATACTTGGTGGCAAAAGCCTTGTTGGCAATCACAGAGGTCAGACGTTTCTTGTAGTTGGCCACCAGGTTTGCACACATCTCAGGAGGGATTGTGTCCCACTCCTCTTTGCAGATCTTCTCCAACTCATTAAGGTTTCGAGGCTGACGTTTGGCAACTCGAACCTTCAGCTCCCTCCACATATTTTTAATGGGATTAAGGTCTGGAGACTGGCTAGGCCACTCCAGGACCTTAATGTGCTTCTTCTTGAGCCACTCCTTTGTTGCCTTGGCCGTGTGTTTTGGGTCATTGGCATGCTGGAATACCCATCCACGACCCATTTTCAATGCCCTGGCTGAGGGAAGGAGGTTCTCACCAAATATTTGACGGTACATGGCCCCGTCCATCGTCCCTTTGATGCGGTGACATCCTGTCCCCTTAGCAGAAAAACACCTCCAAAGCATAATGTTTCCACCTCCATGTTTGACGGTGGGGATGGTGTTCTTGGAGTCATAGGCAGCATTCCTCCTCCAAACATGGCGAGTTGAGTTGATGCCAAATAGCTCCATTTTGGTCTCATCTGACCACAACACTTTCACCCAGTTGTCCTCTGAATCATTCAGATGTTCATTGGCAAACTTCAGACGGGCATGTATATGTGCTTTCTTGAGCAGGGGGACCTTGCGGGCGCTGCAGGATTTCAGTCCTTCACGGCGTAGTGTGTTACCAATTGTTTTCTTGGTGACTATGGTCCCAGCTGCCTTGAGATCATTGACAAGATCCTCCCGTGTAGTTCTGGGCTGATTCCTCACCGTTCTCATGATCATTGCAACTCCACGAGGCGAGATCTTGCATGGAGCCCCAGGCCGAGGGAGATTGACAGTTCTTTTGTGTTTCTTCCATTTGCGAATAATCGCACCAACTGTTGTCACCTTCTCACCAAGCTGCTTGGCAATGGTCTTGTAGCCCATTCCAGCCTTGTGTAGGTCTACAATCTTGTCCCTGACATCCTTGGAGAGCTCTTTGGTCTTGGTCATGGTGGAGAGTTTGGAATCTGATTGATTGCTTCTGTGGACAGGTGTCTTTTATACAGGTAACAAGCTGAGATTAGGAGCACTCCCTTTAAGAGTGTGCTCCTAAATTCAGCTCGTTACCTGTATAAAAGACACCTGGGAGCCAGAAATCTTTCTGATTGAGAGGGGGTTAAATACTTATTTCCCTCATTAAAATGCAAATCAATTTATAACATTTTTGACATGCGTTTTTCTGGATTTTGTTGTTGTTATTCTGTCTCTCACTGTTCAAATAAACCTACCATTAAAATTATAGACTGATCATTTCTTTGTCAGTGGGCAAACGTACAAAATCAGCAGGGGATCAAATACTTTTTTCCCTCACTGTAGATGCAAGCATTTAAAACGCACAGCTGAAAGACAAATCCTATTCAATGTACTTCGATGTTTGGCAGTTTACCTAGAAAACACTGTGTCATTGGAAACATTGATATCAGTTTGTGAATCATCACCCAACATGTTTTCGGCTGTAAAAGGGTACACAGGAAAGCGAAGAGCTCATTTGAGTCTATGCTTTACAGCAAATGTAAATTATTTGTCTAGCCATATCATTTCATTGAATTTCGCTGGTCTCTACATTTTCCTCATTGTTCTCGCTCAAATATTTCCAGTTAGTAATGTCAAAGGGCATAACACATTCTAACAGGGACCGCTGAAGGTACATTCGGTACAGAAAAGTGTTGATGTCATCAAAAAAGCATGCGATATCTTGGAGTTTAACCAGAGTGGGAGTTCACTTGGCAGGAACTGGATTAAGTCCAACGGCCCCATGTTGTAATCGGGTCATTGAGTAAAAAATTTTTTTTTAAACCCCCTTTGTGTTCCTCTACAGAACTTGACCATGAGCATTGCAATGGCCTGCAGTGCAGTTCTTTGTGGTTATTTGATTTAAGCTATTGAATTTTGTCAAAGAATGTGGGATTTCTCATTTGAATTCAGTAAACTCAGGAAGTTGATTACTGGAGTTGTAGTTGTGAATGTATTATGAACAAATTCATCTTAAAAGTTGCTAAAATGCTTTTAACTTTTATGTAAGCTTTTAATTGTTTAAATTAAAGTTATTTATTGAAATGTATGTGGTCTATTCAAATGCTGTATAACGAAACACTGCCACTCCTTTTCACCTAAAAGTAGTTAAATATTCACTTTTGGATTCGGGTAGTTGGGAATGGTGAATACTGTTTACCATTGACAATAAAAGTTATGCCTGTTTTGGAATGTTTAGCCTAAATGGTTAGTGTGAACTTGGAGGAAAAATAACCCTTTCAAAATAAATAAATAAAAACTCCACATATTTGAAATTTTCAGCCACCATTTTTCATCATAACATCAGTTTCCTTCCTAACCTCGCTGTATAGGCTAATACTTGGTATCGTGCCAGGTGAATACTTGCGCAAGTGGTCAGGATTTAGCCTCCGGCAAGAAGCACACTGAATAGGTGGTGTAATGGGGAGAGATATTGGTTATATCGCTGAGTGTGACAGACATAACTCTGAAAACATGTGTTCATGTACCAGGCAAGATTTGATGGCAAAGAGGCTCATTTATTGGCCTGGGTTATACAAAATGTTGATTTTCTCTATTACTATTTCACAATCCTCCAGTCTCGTACAACAGACATAAAACAAAGCCGTTACATATTAGTCAGTAATTACAACAGGGGGAATGTCACTATTTATGGCTACTTTTATGTACTATCATTTAAAAGTGTTTGAGTTGATTTAAATTTCATGTGAAATTGTGCTTTGCGCTTGACTTTAGTAAACTTCAGCCATGACAAAAACCCCTCTTAACTCCCATGTGAAGGCTAAGTTTCAATTGGATTTCTCTGTTGCCTTTTGCTGCAGCCAGATTCACCTAACACAGTCCACTGGGGAGTCTAAAGGAACCATTACCGTAAACAGAGTTGACATTTAAAGGTGCGATGCTGAGATTTGTTACAGCACCTCAGTGTGGCACCCCCACTATTGCCCCAGTGGTACAGCCCACGTGAGGGAGTGAACTGAACGCGTGGCTGTGTGTGTACGCACGGGAAGGGCAGGAGACCGGGCAGGAGACCGGGCAGGATGCGGGGCCATTTCCCACAGGAAGCACAGCCCATTTAAGGCCC